AGCCTTGTCATACTCCTTTCTCTATTTTGAACCAGTTGGTTGTTCCATGACCGGTTCTAACTGTTGCTTCTTGGCCCGCATACAGATTTCTCAGGAGACAGGTAAGGTGGATCTGGTATTCCCATCTCTTTAAGAATTTGCCACAGTTTGTTGTGATCCACACAATCAAAGGCTTTTGCATAGTCAATGACTACAGAAGTGTAGCTGACCCCAACTTTCCATTCATTTAGAAAGACCCTGAAGATTCTTTTATTCCCACCAGCCTTTGGCCAATAACATGATCATTGTGCAATAATTCTTTATTATGTTAAAAGAATATTTTGAAGTATTTTAATGTTATTTTTTAACTTTTTGCTTACTTGCACTGCCCAGAATCCTTGTGATTACAGCAATATACAAATATTATTAAATAAATAAATAAATAAATAAAACTCCAAAATGATTAAACCATTATCTCCCATAAAAGCAAAAATTTTTATTCATTGTGTCTTTTCTATCTGCTGCTATGAAATTTTGAACCTTAGTTGGAAGATAGAGCCACCTGGATTTCTGGATTAAAATGGGTTTGAAGAGAGTTCTCACTTCCATCCCGGACATTTGAATTCCTGGGCCTAGAAGACAAGTGTAGGTGGAATTTCCTACCAGTCTGAGGCAAATGTATAGCAGCAGCAGCAGCAGTTGCAGATAGAACAAGATGTGGTTGGGAAAGATTTATTTTGTTCTATTCAACTCAGCACCAACATAAGATCATAGAAAGAGTTATTGAATTGTAGAAAGATTCGTTCTCTCTTTCAGACTAGTTCCAGTTTTGAACATTTTTCTCATAGGCAAGAAAGATAGCTTAATAATTTTGTTGCTATACCAAAAGATGGTCTTAAATTTACTGTTAAGGATCCCTAGGTCTTAAAGGAGCCATAGTATCCCTCTTTATGATACTTTATGTGAAGAAAGTCAGAACTTTTTCCCACTCAAATTTGACATATGATTGATTTTGTTTTGAGGTTTTCCAATAAATTAATATTTATAAGGAAGAATGGAACTAGATTAATCTGTAGGCATTTTCATTGTGTAAATTTCTAATGATATTCTATCTAATCTTGCCCCTCTTCTTTTGGGATAAGCCAGCAGTGTCAGCATCCATTATTACAGAAAACAGATCTCTTGATTACCAATTGAATAGCTGTTGGGTCAATTTATTTAATTTGTTCTTTTGAGTTTGCATTAGCCAGAGGTATGAGAATATATGTGTCAAAAAATAATATTAAAATATGATTTGCAGGAATGCTCAGAGAAGCGAATGTTTGGAGGAATGTTTCCCACCTTCCCCTTTATCTATTACTATGATAATGAATATGATATCAAGAGGAGCACTCAGAGAGCAAAGAAAAAAGCGCAAGGTATGATACGTTTGGCGATCTTGCTTTTTATTAAATTCTTACTAAGTTGCTATTACGTTTACTGCCTCTAGATTAAAAAACTTAATCTAGATCAGGGTGGGTAACCTTGGACAGAAGGCTTCATGTGGTCCCCAGCACCCCATCTGCAGCCCCTCCATAACCCAAGGTCATGCCAAAATTTAGTGACAAAATAGCAATGTTCGGTAGCACAGTTTTCTTTTTCCAAAAACAAAACTGGGAATGAGAATAGGTTTCCTCTGGGAGACTAATTTCTATCTTTATTTCTACCTTTTAAATCCTTCAAAGTAAGCTGAAACCTCAGCCATTTTTCTTACAAAATTTGACAGCATAATCTAGAGGTGTTTGTGAGAATTTAAGGATGGAATTGGAAATGTTTCAGATCCCAAAATGCCAAATGTTTCCATTTGCACCAAAAAAACCCCCCCTAAAAATGCAAATAAACAAACAAACAAACAAACAAACAAACATCAACCTGATTCTTGCAACAACTGCATGGCACCTTTGGAAGGTCAGAAAGCTGAACTGCAAACCCTAGTTCCTCATAGATTGTAACCTGTTCTCTAAAAAAATAATAGATCTTGCAATCTTTTTGTTTGTTTACTTACTTCATGTGTATGCTATCCAATCCTGATGCTCTAGGTGGCTAACAATCACATAAAATAAAAACATTGACAGAAAGAGGGGAGGGGGAGGCCCCCTCAATGTACCAAACACAGACAAAAATTAGAATAAAACCTAGAAACAAAACTCATATGCCCACAAACCCAATTTTCAGAACATACCATCCTTATGCACTAGACAGAACAAACTTGACAACCTTTATGAAATCCAGGAGGGACAGAATTGACCAAATCTCTGTAGGAAAGGTATTCCAAAATGTGAGGGTAGCTATCAAAAAAATCACACTTCCAAGGCCCCATCAGATGGCAATCTTGTAAGAATAGATCATACAGTAGTAGGAATTGATCCTGTTTAATTTGGGTGGACAAGCAGATGAATACAAGAGAAGGCAGTCCTGTAGGTAATCAGAGCAGAACCATCTAGGGCCTTAAAGGTGACAACTAGTACCTTGAATTCCATCTGGAAGCAAACTGGCAACCGGCGGAGCTCCTGAAGAAGCAGGGTCACCCAGGTGTGCCAGGATATATCCATCTGTACCAGCTGTTGATTCCAAATATTCTTCAAGGGCAGCCCCATGGAGAGTGCATTACAGTAATCCAAAGAGGAGGTGACTATAACAGGGCTTCCCAATCCAGGAATGTCCACAAATAATGGGCAAGATGTATCTGTGCAAAAGCCCTCCCAGCCACAAAACCCCCAGATTGTGAACTACCTTTGAATGGGAGAGGACAACTCTGTTCATAGTCACAGCCACTCTGTCTTGGAGGGATTCAACCTGAATCTCTTCCTTCAGGGACTGAGTCAGCACTTCTGTCACATTGCCTGTATGACCCAGGGCCCAAATGTATAGCTATCAGCCCTTTGAATGTCAGGATATCATCAGGGGAACAGCTGTATTAAAGCTTTGATTTAATAAACCTGTACAATCGTTATACTGTGTACTGTTGTCTTCTGTGGAGATTGTACCCATCAGGGACAAAGTGTCAGGTTCAGCCCAAGAACAACAGCGAGACAGTCTAGAATCAGTTCAGCTCCTTTATTAGCTTACACCTAATAGACAGAATCTCGCCAGACTAATTCTAATCCCCAACAACAGCAACTATAACCATGATGCCCTAGGGAGGGGCCAGCCTCATTCTTTTGACTTTCCCACACTCTGGCTGGGGGCTGAGGAGGTACTTTCCCTAGAACCTCTCTTCTCCCTCCCAGCAACCTTGAAGCTCCATTCCAGAATCCTCCCCACTCATGTCTTCCATCACACAAAGATGCTGAGAGAGGAGGAAATACATTCTCTATGCTTTCCCCCTCCCAAGATGAAGTCCAACTTCCCTCTTCATAGAGGCCCGTCAGATGGTGTTGGTGATCATCCTTCCCCAGAAGGAATTTGTTAATTTAAAAAGGGCTACTAGGTGGCATTTGGTAGATGCAATCAAAACAGCAAAGTATCTCCTTTCTGCTGTTTGAGCCACCATTGTGTAGGCTCAAATGTGAGCTCTTACAACATCCAGCCAGACTTGAGATGGGTCTTCCTCCAGCAACACTATAGGCATCTCCTCTGCTGCTTCCTCTCCTTGAGCTCCTTGGTAAATCAAGGATTTGCAGTGGATCTGTGAGAGGGGAAAGCCTTTTTAGCTTGTTTGTAAATAGTCGCCTTTCAGGATTGACTCGCGTGACTTTCCAAAATAAAGCTACTTTTGTCGGCCTTTTTGCTTAAAATGTGTGTGTGCATTTTATCAAGTATCGCTTGGTTATAAACAGGTATTCTAATTTCTAATTACTTTGTTGGAAGATTTACCCATTTTTGCTATCAGATATTTGATTTCAGGTTTCACAATCTGAGATCAAACATATAGGTTTAGCACAATGATTCCCATCTTGGTGTTCACCAGTTGTTATGGACTGGAAGTCCCATGGTATCTCATCAGTTTTAGGTGTCTTGACACATTATCAGTGTTGCTAGTCAGTGTGCTTTTTGCAAATGTCCTCTAAAATTGATAGATATGCAAGGGTTCATTATTTTAATATTAAACTGCTTGATTACATTGTAAACAGGGTATAGATTGCTTACTCTAGATACGAAGGGGTTGTAAATTGGTAATACATACAGTATCAGTATTTTTGGTGGAGTATCATCAAGTGTTTTTATTTTGCAGAACTTCAGGAAGCTGGCCTTCTACCAAAGACTCTAAAAAGATCACATATAGATTGTGATTGGGAAGAGCACAAGCATAAGAAAAAGAGGAAAGTTTTGAAGGAACATGGCAAGAAGGGGGATAAATATCATAAAAACCTGAAGAAAAAGTCTCATGCAGATCTGTTCAAAGGAAGGAAGCATAAGAAGGAGGTTCAAAACAACTATAACATAGAAGAGTGCTTTCCTAGAGGGGGCCACATAAATGCGCATAAGAGGTGCAGAAGGAAAAATCCTGCGCATCAAAGCATTGGCTTCCTGACAGAAGTTCATCAAGTTTCTATGGAGCCAGCAAAAAGGCAGAAGAAAAAGAAAAAGCAGAGGAGCTGCACAAGCAGTAGTTGCATCAGGGATGAAAGTTTATTTCTTATCAAACAGAAGAAAAAGAAATCGACACCGAAAGCCAGCTCAATCTGAGGCGGAGCTGTATTCCTTCCCCAATAGGGAGCACAAACCAATCAAAATGCATACTGGGCTATCACAGCACAGAGAGTATATCGGTACCATTCCATAAGGACAGCATCTTGGTTTGTAGTGACAATTTATTTATGCATTAGAGATACATAATGTTGATAGGGTTGGTTTTTTTCCCCAGTTTCTGTATCTGGATGGAATAGAGGGGTGGGGGTAGGGAGTGACAAGATGAAAGCAATTAAAAAAAAAAAGAAATACATTTCCTCAGCTGCATACACTCTTTTTGTAAATCCATGTATTAAAATACTTCTGCTTAATGCATATAGTTTATTTGCATGCAAACTCTGAAGAAAAACGAGGCAAATTGACCGGCGGCCTGGGTATGGATACGAAAACAAATGGGGGTAGCCACTTCGCCTGTTTGATAGAAGGGACAAAAAGAGGCAGCGCAAGGGATTTTGTGTTTCCTCTGCTGATAGTTTTGTAAAACGTATGGAATGAATTTAAGAAACAGGGAGGGATGTTGTGCACAAATTATTTTTCCTAATTTATTTTCCTGACAATGATGTGGCTGTCTTACGCTGCATCCTCTGCCTTAGATACGATTGTCTTCAGTTTGTCATAGACCTAGCACCATACTTTGACTTGACAGGCCAGGTGAGTCTTTGTTTCAGTGAGAAAGCTGAAATTGCATTCAAGTCCAATTTTTTTAAAGAATATAATCATGTACGACTTTTTCATGTTTCTGAGAAATAAATTATTTTATAATGCATTTTATGAAAATGAGGTATTTTTGTACTTTGAATTGCAATTCAAATTTTATGACTGAAAAACATTGCAATATCCAAGGGGAAAGTAGTCCTTTTCATGCCTTCTTTTTTTCTTTTTGAAAGTCAAGTACATACCATCTTCCTTCCTTAATACTGTCAACTCATGTGACCTCCAGTGAGACTTCAGCTTCCCAACCATGCTGCTTTTTTCACTCTTGTTAATTTCTATGTAAAAAGATGTATTTTAGATAGTTGCTTATTAAACATTAAAATGTTATTTTTATACTGAGTCTGTTTTCTTAGCACGATAAAATAACAAGTCTTTCAAGATATGATCATTACAGAACATACCAGCTTAGTACTACTGCCTGGAACATCCATTAGATGTCAAAGCCTATCCATGCCATGAGATTACAGGACTTGGTATATAAATAAAATGGCAATTGTAAGTACACCGTAGGAGTAATTTACGGACAGGAAGAGGCTCTGCAGGAACATTAATGTAAATGTTTTTGTAAGATGGAAGTGAGATTCAGAAATTGTAGGTGAAAGGATTCAGCTGAGCACAAATATTGGCAAGACAGCATTACACTGCGCAATAGTGAAAGATGAGTAGCAACACGCAGAACAGAATGAAGGGGAAATCCAATTGAATACAAAGAAATGATCCCATTAAGGCATCATGCTGTCAAATCTAAACTGAATATAGGACACTTCACGATTTGAATCAAAGAAGTACAGTAATCCTCTTCCTGTCTGTTTTAGGTCATTATCTGTTTTTATCTATTCAAACAGTATTGTATCCCACCGATACATTGGAAATGGGTGTGAATATGTTTTTCTTTTTAAAAACTCTATCGGTCTTTACCTTGAAGGTGTCTGGGGCTAAGTCCTTATCTCTGGAGAAGTCATTGCAGAGATGCACTCAAGGTCTGACTGAGGGAGTCTACACTGCAGGAAGAGCAAGACAGAAGAAGCAGGCAGAGTGTGGCTTCTGGAATTCTTTCCAGTCCTATTACCAGCAGCGGCCTTAGCAGCCATAGGTATTTTCTTCTGTGTTACAGAGTAGCACGTTGCATGAGTACGATGTATGTTTCTGCTTCCTTGTCTTGCATCTGTCTACCTTTGTGTGAACCCATGCACTAGGAAGCACATACCCTCTTCTGGATCATGTGACCAGGAGGGGGGAAGGTTGCTTAGGATAGAGCAGTTGGCAGCACCCCCAGCTGCTTCCCAACTAGCTTGGCCATAGGGCTGCGTTGGGGGGTGGGGAGGGAATTTTTTTCTCCACTGCCCCCATTCTTTTCTAGGCCATTTTAAAATTCAGTCTTTTGCTGGTTTCCCTCTCCTCCACCCCCGTTTGATCCTGTTTTCTTTTCAGAGAGGTACCCTGCGGAGGGACAGAAGGATAAACAAGAGTCCTGACCCCCTTTCGCATAATTTCTTCCCAACCCTTTGCTGAGTTGGAAAGAATTTTTTAAAGAAGGCTGCTGCTGAAGAAGTAAAGTTTTGCTGAAGGGAATTGTTCCAGCTATGAGGAAGTGTCTATCAATTTATTGATTTTGCTGGGCGTACAAGCCATATGACGAGAGAGAGAGAGAGAGAGAGATTGAAAAGGGCGGGGCCACAAAGCCGTCCCATTTCCCCCCCTTTTTATTAATTTAAAAAATAGCAAGAGGCAATTTTAGTCAGACTGTAAAAGACCAGTCAAGCAGCATCAGTTTCCCAGCTCCAACCCTCACAAATTGTTTTGCAGGCAGATCTCCCCTCCCAACTGATCACCTGACACAAGTATGATGCAAAAGCCCCCAAATGAGATTTTTTTCTTGTTCTTTAACTTTTAGCCTCAGAACAACTCTAAGCATATCTTAGGTAGTCATGATATACGCTCAGTATATATGAGTACCTAGTGTGTGTGTGTGTGTATACACACATACATACACACACACACACATATATATATATGTACACATACACATACATACATACATACACACCCTTCTTGTTCCTAAATGCTAGAACTCCTGTTTAGATTTTTAAAAAGGGATTACAGAATTTAAGGGCCATTTTCCATGTCTCACAATTAGAAAAATCAGCAGCTGGCCTGGATCTAGCTGGTGACCATTGGACAGGTATACCTTGACCTCCTCTCTCCTGCTGTCTTCTAGCACAGCCCCGGCGCCATTTGCGTTGGCATGTTCGGTCCCATGCTGCTTTTCCTCTTCAGTGAGTCTTCCTCCGGGTCTCCCGCTTAAAAGCCTCATGTATTTTACCCTGTTCAAGAACAGACAAACCTTCAAGCAATCCAAAATCCCTAGCCACTCTTTTTTGGATTAAGATCAATAGGGTGTGTTAAACAGCCATTGTAGCACCTTCAGCAGTCCACCATGATTTTCATGACAAAATTGCTGCTTGTCATAATTCTCTCTGAAGTTAACATGTCATCCTGGATGTTTTTAAGACTCCCCCTACTCCCTTTTGCCAACTCTGTTGTTGCTCTTCCCCTATGAGTACAGCTTCCTATGAGAAGCTAAACTGTCTTCTGTTTGCAGCTCCTATTTCCATATCAACAAAGACAGAGTTAATAGAGAACTTTCGGGGTACCTCCATGGATGCAGAGATGCTCTGGAAGAAGACAGGCTCATTACTTCAGTCATGTATGACACTAAGTGACGTACATCCCAACCTTTGTAAGTCAGGTTAAACGCATACAAATATAAAATCACAAAAGATGTCCGCAACATCACTGGAATCACAAAGAGCGTTAGGAATATTAATCAAAAGCAAAAAAATTCTGCTGTCAGAGGGAATAACTTCACAACATTCTGGCCACCAAGTCCTGTTGGAATAACCACATTTTAATGGCATTCCTGTAAACCCAATAGAGTAGGAGCCATCTGGATATCTGGGGGAATGCTGTTCCGTAGAGAGGTAACAACGGAGAAGGCTCAGTTCCATGATCCTTGAAAATGTCATTTCCTGAGCGAACAGATACTTAGGCCCATTCTAAGCAGCCTTACTGGACAGGCTAAAGGAACTCAATTACTAGCTCAGTAGTTTAGTGATGTCAAAGAAAACAATTATTTCTACATTTAGTCTTTTATGAAAACTAAGCTGATTTGCATTAATTGCCTTATATTGCATAATTTGTTTTCCCAAACTTCACTTAGAAATGTATATCAACAACCTGTTGCAAAACAATACATAAGGACGTATTTATTTACTTTCCTATTTATTAACAAATTTATACCCTACCTTTCCTCCAGGAGGAGGGACTGTGGCTTGAGGAATTGCGGTCCCTCCTTCCGTTTTTCCCCACACAACAATCTGCAAGTTGAACTGTGAGTCCGTGACTGGTCCAATTACCCCAGGATCTTCTGTAGTTGAGGATGAGGGTCTCTTCCGTCCTATTCCAATATCATGTTGTTTAAAGCAGGGCTGTGGAGTCGGCACATAAAATCTTTGACTGCGACTCCTTTAATTATATATCGATGTAGGAAATAAATTATATACTAATGATATATTTCCTATATCGACTGCAAGCACGCAACATACAAGGCATTAAAATATATCCTGAAAAAGACAGGTTAACCAAATTATCATCTATGAAATTTTAACGTATTATTTGTATTATATACAATTTAAATTTATTAGGCGTCGGAGTCGGTACATTTTACTGACTCCGACTCCAGTAACCCAAGAATTGCTTCCAATTCCAATTCCGACTCCATGACTCTGACTCCACAGCCCTGGTTTAAAGATAAGCTAAAAGCCCAGCTAAACACCCTGATAGAGAATACTGAAATTACTGCAATGGTTACAAATGATGCGGCTCAAAGGTGCTTTCTTTAGTTTCCACATGCAGCGAGGTGGAATTAATAGAATGAAGACCTTACTTTGGGCAGGTTTTGACAAAATGATCGTGGCTTAATAAGTAGAAATGGAGCAAGTTGCTCTGTCAGAAGATGGGGAGAGAAATGCCGTTTCACAACCTCCTTATTGTCAAGAGAAAACATGTGAAGCTGAAGAGGCCAGAATTTTATACTTTGCTTCTGCTCTAGGTATAGAGGGAATATACAGTGAAATGCTTGTCTGGCAGTCACAGTGTATACTGGAGATGAAAGTATCCATTCTTACCTGCTAATGCAGGGAATACAAACTTAATTTGTATTCCCTGCATTATTTGTTTTCAGGATCAATCCTTTAGAAGTATTCAAAAACTGCCAGTCTTCTACTAAAAGGGTATGTAAGTTTCCCCATGCATAACTATAGGTAGTACATAGTTGAGAGGTTAAGCCACGTGATTGCTCCATTTTACTTTTTCAGAAAGTGCTAGAAGTTCTTTTCCCATTCAGATCTGAAGGCCATTAATCCAGACTAGTTTAAATTACTTGTTTAAAACCCTGCTATAAGTCAGTTCACTAAAAAAAAGTTACATGGACAGACATGGTTTAGACTTTGAAGCTCAAGGGGGGGGGGGGGCTGTTTTTTTTTAAGTAATGTTAATTAGGTCTTTTAGCACCATCTCCAATAATTCAACTTCCTAATCATTCCATAAATGGCTTCACGCCTACCTAAAAATATACTTTTATCCTGTTCTTTAATGCTTACACTGATTCTAAGCTTAAGGAAGCAAACTTACCCCCATGGCTGAGCAACTGCAAGCCTAAATCTGTGTCTTAAGAGGTTCTATTGAATACTAGCTGGATTTTCTATGCACTGTGGATTTTCATTCCGTCTTTTAATTTTTACTTTAATTACTAAACTTTTAACAATAGATCAACGTAACAACCAAGCTTTTAAAATAATAATATAAATGTTGGACCTTAAAAGAAATTAAATTGGCTTTAGGAAAAGTCTTTAATTAAAAGCTTGAAGAAATGGGTTTGAAAATAGTGCATGTGTGTGTGCCTATATATATTTGGGTGCATATGCGTCACGCTTACTTTCTATAGATGATCAAATAAGAGTCAGCGGACTTTGGGTTTTGATAAAATACAGTTTGCATCTATTAACAATGTCAGTGTCTAGTTTTAAGAAGGAAAAGTGCTTTGTCCAGTGCTTTGATCTTTCAGAGCCGTAGTATATTTATAGCCGATAAAAATAAATGTAGAAATATGTAACATACTTTGTATTCATATGCTCTTTTTCTGACAACCAATATGTAATTCTAATCTGTAGATACATACCATGAATGTCAGTTTCATAATTTCAAGGACTGATGTACTAAAGATATTTTTCTATTTTTC